ACTGTAATGCCACAATTGCCCTTAAAAATCGCAGAAATGGTGCAGTTTCATTCAAGAATCTCAACCAATCTGACAAGCTGGTTATCTGCAAGCAGAAAAAGTGCTTGATGCAGAGGTCACAGATCATCTCTGAATTGCCATATCCTTGCAGTCCTTGGCTTGGCCGCAGCAGCTCGTGGTTCTGTGCTGCAGGAGCAGAGATGCTGGAGGCAGAGGTGGCTGGTGCAGCCCGTCTGCCCGACGCGGCAGGGCTGCTCCCCATGGTGTAAGCCTCTTAATGCTTTGTTTACTCTGGATTTAAACCCCCCAAGTCATGGGGCTTCCATCATTGCCACTGAGACCCTGCTTGACAGTGTAATGGTTTGCTCTCAGTGATTTTTTCCCAGTCTGTGCTTTCAGCTTTCCCTTTCTTTAATCCCATGACTTTTGGTTCTGCTCCCTTTTGTATTCTTCAGCTCAGACCTCCTTTCCCTTTGAAGCTGACCCTGCATACAGATTCAATTCCCCACTATTAGGAAATGTAGGTAGTAGTTAATTAGTTGATATTTGTAAAGCACTTTCCTTACTGGGTCCTTCTTTCTTCTGAGTGTATCCCTTGCTTTTGCTTCCTTGTGGATCCCTGTCTCCGGGCTCTCCTGAGGCCCTGCCAGAGGAGCTCTGCTGAATCCTGTTCTAACAAACCCAACCCAGTGCTAAATATGCCAAATGTTGTTTCTTTTGTTTTTCCACCTGCTTATAGGAAAATCGTGTTACTCCATGGACTTCAGTACTTTCCGTGAATGAATGGGAAGGATTATGTGATTTTTATAATAATTATGGAAAGGACCTACAAATAGGTTTGCAATGTAAAAGCACCAAATTTAAAAAGTGTGTTTAAAAATAATACAAATACTTAGGGTTATATAAAACAGTATCAAAATCCAAATAAACCATGACATGAAGTGACTGCAAGTTCTTTGTGGCTCTGCAGGGAGAATTAATTATTGTCATTGCAAAATTCCTGGAGAGGCACCAATGTAAGTACTGTTGTAACTGCACTGTAATAGTTACACCAGGACTGAATTTGAGCTAAAAGCTCTCAGTTTTATTTTTTTAAATGATGGGTACCTCGTTGTCTAAAATTCTAAGTAAAAATCTCTGTCCCTCATCACTTGACTGCACTCATCTCTGACCCAGCCATGCAACTTGCTCTCTGAATTACCCTCTGCAGCAACATACAGTTTGGACAACCATTTAGTGGGGTTTCTCTGTGTAATTTAATGCCTGACTGGTGTGCCCTAGAGCCATCCTTGTGCTCCTTTGATGATGGAGGCCATACAGAGAGCAGCCCTGAAGGTAAATCCCAGCTCTCCTTGAGTTTTGCCGTAGGCTTCTATGGGTTTAGAGTCTCACCCTAAGTGTGTTAACTCCATGAACCACTGCAAGGGGCTAAGAAATGTGATAAGTTTAATTGCCTTGGGTGTTAAGTTCAATTGTGGTTTATTTTAAGTGTTCAGGGGAAGAGCTCCTTGAAAAGTGATTTGAAGAGACAGGAGAAAAAAATGAGTGTGCCCTTGGGAATGGCTGAGGGCAGCCTTCTTGCAGAGCTCCCATCTAGTTGCAGATTTAAATGTTATTATTTAATGAGCACAAGCAATTACTTAGCTAGCGAACATAACTAAGTGAGCGCAAGAAATGTGTTTCATCTGCAGTGTCCACAAGAAAGACATGGTTTTGAGCTTGAGGCTGCCCTTGCTTTAAAACCCGGGTCACTGCGGTGAGATTAATCCAGGACATAAATCACAGGGGTTAGATTAGTGTTTGTTTTACTTGAATTCACATTTCTTTCACTCTTATCTCCTCTAAATCTCGCAGTTTCTCCACTCAGTCATGAATTGGAGAATGGAATGGGTTTAAACAGCCGCAACTTCCCTCCTGAGCACTGGCTGTCAGCCCTCAGGCTTGACTTACCATTGGAACGCAATTATAAAATGGCACAATGCAATTAATGTGTCTTTCCTCTCCTTTTGTGCCAGACAGGAATTCCTCCTCCACCTTCTGCTGGAGTGATATTTATAATATAACCTAATCCAATGTAACTTCATTTTGAATTAGTCAGGGGTCCACCAGACGACGCTTGCATAAGCAGGTGGTTGCATATCCCAGTTGGGAAAATTGTGCATGTCCAGAACTATTTCTCTGGAAATTCAGATTGCTCATGCACTTTCCTTATGAGGTGGTGTTTATCTACCTTTGCAGCAGACAATATAGGCAACCCACCCCCCCAAAACAAACAAGCAAAAAAATCCCAAGCCAAACTCCGAATGATTTTGTCAGCTCTTAAATATGACTGTGGAGAGCTGAGTCTCATCTTGCTCTGTGTCCTCTGTGGAGCTGCTGTGTTGTGTGGTGTTTAAGAGGCCGGTGTTATATAGCACACATGGAAGAAAGTGATAGGGAAGATATTTTCTGTGTATGCCAGGCTGGGAGAAAGTTGTAGGCACCAACCTATTCAAATTAACCTTAGAGCTGACATAACTAACAGTGGATTTTGCTAACAAGGACATAGTGCCCAACCATTGCTAATTTTCTTTACATTTTTGTCCTGATGTATTTAACTAAGCATTCAAAATAATTTTTTATTTTACTTTATTTATTATGTACAAGACTTGGTTCAAGCAATCTGCAGGAAGCAAGAGATTTTGCAGGTGATTTTTGAAAACATTTTCAGCAAAATTGTTGCCATTTGTTGGGGAATGAGTGGAGACACATTAAGCTCTGTAAATGAAAAAGAAATATTGATTTCTCCTTCCCCATGAAATAACTTTTAAGAGTTATGGCTATTATTAAATTATAATGAAACTGTAGTTAAACATTAAAACCAATCAATAAAAGGCATAGTCAACATTAAGAACATTTCCCATTTTCTACGGTTTCACAGAGGTGCAGGTAATTTTTGCAGGCTTTTCCCCAAGGCTCTGTGTTACTTGGTGTCCCACAGAAAGGAAACCCAGGAGATTTTGTTGCTGAGGAAAGCACAGAGTAAGCAATAGCTGCCAAAAGTTAGAGCAGAACAAGACGAAGTCGCAGTGTGTGAAGGCTGCCTGTGGTCATCGTTCTCCGAGGCTGGTAGGTGGTTGCCTTCGCTTCTGGTGTTGCACCTGAGGACAGATGAAGAAGTCCTGCTTAAGGCACCCAAGCTGGGGCTGTCAAGGAGGCTTTTTGCTGACCTAATTCAGCTGCTGTTGAAATCCGTGGTGGTTTTCCTGCTGGTTTTAATATCACCGGTTAGGCAATGCCCAAAGGCTTTTGCAAAGTCCTGTCCTCATGATATGAACACATTTGCTGACCAAAACCTTTGGCCTGCTGCCTTTGGGAGGACAAATTCCCAGTGGGGAATTTCTTCTTCCCTTTGCTTTATGGTCTTAGTACTGCTTACGTATGTGCACAGTTGTGGCTGTTTGGTAGCAGCAAATCCTTTCAGGCACACAGTCATTGGGAGATTTCTTGCCATATGCGAAGCTCCTAGGAGTTGTCCCAGTTGTTCTTTGCACTATATGAGATCAAAAAAACTTTACGGGGAGAGACCTTAGTTAAAGTCCTTTGCAACTCACTGGATTTTGCATTCAACTAAATGGCACATATTGAGTGGACAGTCAACCCTGAGGAGCCTAAATGAAAGAATATGGTTTCTCTGTGTATTTAAACCTCATAGCCGAGGGGGCTAGTGGCTCCTCAAAATGCTCCCAGGTACATCCTTCAGTATTCGCCCTTCAGCCTTTCCATTCATAGGTCCTGCATTCTGAACTGAGATGCCTGCACTTTATTAGCTTTGTGACTGAAAAATAACAGCATATGTTTTCTGTTCACTAGAAAAGGCCTGAATTGCCTTGGTTTACACTTTAAAATAAAAGTCAGGCTTGAGGCAGGCACAAATCCTTGTGTGTGTCAGCCCAAAAGGTGAACGCTGTAGGAAGTTATGAGCAACCACAAATGCAGTTTGGGATGGCAAGAAAAGCTGGAACAGCTGTTGCTCCTGTTATTCTGTGTGTGACATTCAGAGTTATAATGCTAGAGATAATACACGGTATGTTTGGGGAGGATGTAAAAACAGATGGAGATTCACTGAGGTAGAGAGAAAATCTATTTGGATCATGGTGCAGAGAAGGAAGGGCCTTCTTGCTAATAGCACAGGGATAAAATTATGGGAAAGTATGAAAGTGGGAAAAGGGAACAGACAAAAGGGGCCAGGGAGTCCAGGATAATTTTTGAGGGAGGATTTTCTGACACCTCCTTGCAAGTGAAAATTAATTGGTCTGGGAATGGCATTTGCAGCTCCGTGTAGCAGGGGCTTAGCAAGGCCCATGAATTACCTCGCTCTGGGGTCTCAAAATGATCTGACAGGTTCACGTGCGTCAGGCAAACATTATGGTAATCTCAGTGCTCTAGGGGCTCTACAGGAGTACATAAAAACCACCTAAGCTGTCCAGCTGATCTTAAAAATTAATTATGGCCCTGCTTAATAATATTCCCTCCCCCCCATTTTTGCTTTAGAGGATCATTGGGCTAAAAAAAAACTAATTAATCTTTCTTAATGAAGCTGTTTGCTAGCAGGAGACAGCCTGTTTTGCCCCCGTGGATTCTGGGGTGGAGCTTTTATGAGCACTGAGAATGGGGAAGTGGGAAGCGACTGCTGGAGAAAAAGCAGTACAAAATGGGGATAATTCCCCCAAACCCGACCACTCTGGCTGTGTAAAAGTATTTCCACCACAGTTACTAATTATTAGAGCACCAGCAATTGCCAAAGCTTGTATAGGCAAGACAAGAGCTCTGTTAAAGCACATGATTGAAATCACGTTTCCCTGGAGGAATCCAAAGCCATCATGGCAGGGTTTGGGTTTAACTGCATGGTCTAAGCTGTATCCTCTAAGCTGGGCTCCTCCGGCCGCGGCCATGCTTAAACCGCATGGCAGACACTACGGGACGCTAAGCTCTTCTCTTTTCCTGTTTCTCCTGTATAGAAGATGCTGGATGAGTGCCAGGACCGACGGAGCTGCCGGTTCCTCGTCAACAGCCGGCTCTTCGGCGCTGATCCGTGCCCGGGGACGGGCAAATACCTCATCGTGTGGTACAAGTGCAGGCCAAGTGAGTATCTCCCCACCGAGTCCGTTGCCTTTTTTCTGCTTAGTCCTTGGCAGCCCGGCCTCCCGGGACGTTTTGGTTCCCTCCCGCGTTTATTTGCAGCCTGGCACAACCCCTGGGTAGGCAACGCTTCCCCTTGCCCTGTTGGGCTAGTGGGACTCATATTCTCTTGGCCTGCCCTGTAGCAGGACCGAGGCAGCGTCGTGACAGTGGTAATGTCACAACAGCAGTGGTGTTGTGACGCCTCGTGCAAAATCGCGGGGAAGAAATTAAAAAAACAAAAGGGTTGAAATGAGGAAGAGAGACGATCTGATTTCAGAGGAGATTTTGAAACAAAAGCTGAGGCGCTCAGGCCCGGCGCTGTGCAGCAGGAGTCACTTTGCCCCAGCGTGCAGAGACCTGTGCTAATGCAACGAAGGGATCTGGTGAGGAATTCGAGTGAGAAATAGGTAATGAAGCACCTGCATTTATTGTGCGGTTTTGGTGAGTGACTGGAACATCCCTTGTTAGGCAAGAAGTTTGTTTCTATGAAACAGAAGTGATTAGCAGGGTGTCCTGACAAGTCTTCATCACCTTATAGGTTTTGTATCACAGCTCAGAGCAATCTGGCTGCAGGAGCCTGTGCTGAACTTCTGAAGGTAGCTCAGGATCCCATTGTGCAAAAATATTTATGGCTTGGCATTCTCTGCTAGTTGCAGATACACAAAGAAAGGAGTCTGCGTGAGTGCTCCGTGATTTTCCTGAAAGAGAGTGGGAAAACTTCCTTAAAAACCTTTCTCGAAGACATTTTTCAAGCAGCTATAGTTCTGCAGGGTGAAACAGGGTAACCTGCCACAAGTTATTGTTTCTTAGCCACTGGACAAAGTTTTAATCACTGGATTCATAACATGGTTAGAAATCTGTGAGCATTAGCATTGCATAGAGATACCAGGACTTTCAAACTTCTCTTTATGATTCCAGACTTTAAGTTTGAGTTTCAGAAAAAAATTTTAAAGCTTGTGTGTGTTGATCTGTAACTGTGCCCATTCACTCTGCTGTAGGGTCGTTAGTGGGAGCTCCGGTAAGACTGAGCCACAGAATATGAAATAGAGGGCAATAATAAATTTTGTTGGACTCTTCTGCGCAGGGGGTTACTTGTGAGCTCTGAATGAATCTAAGTCCTGTGAAGTGTTGATTGTCCCCAGAAAGCCTGAGCCCACATCCACCTAACCAATGAGTACAGGACTCACTGCTGAAGCTTGCTGCCTGGCACAGGCTTTGATTGATAACTTTATCAAAAGATGAGTGCAGCTCTTGGGTACTGCTTCCGAGCCTGGATTTGTCCTCCTTGGTGACAGACAGAGGTGCTTTAAAAAGAAGTCATTTAAAGTCTAAATTGTTGTCAGAGCTACTGAAGCAGGTGCCTTGCCTATGTGCCAAAGGCGGTGGAATGAACCCGAGTTTGTTTGCCTGCAGGTATGAGATACCCTGATACCCTTTGGGAAGTGGTCTGCGAGCTTGGACAAGGCATCTCTAATTTTTGTTATGGATGTCCAAGCTCTCCCGCTTTAAGAGTCCTCCTGGAACCTTGGAAATCCACTGAATAATGCAGCTCACTAAAAAGAAAGCTTTTCCTTGAAATAAAGCGAAATTGAAGTTAGTGGCATCTATTTGTATTTTTACTGATGAATAACTAAATAGTGCAGTGTTTCCCTGCGGCCACTGTCACTGCAGTTACGTGTCTCTGACACTATGTTGTGTTTGAAATCTAGTGGTTTCAATGCTCACTGGCTGTAAGGGGGGTCACTTGCAAGGCAGAGTGCTCTTTTTTTTTGATTTCTCACTGGCAGAATTTCAAGGAGATGGAGGAAAGCAAACCAGGCTGAAAATGAAAGCCCTGGATATCCCAAACAGTGGGGCTGCGGGAGATGTGAACAGTCTCTGCTGCACAAAATGCTGAGGGCCCTGTGACTTTCTCTGCCAGAAGCTGGGAAGACTTGAGCAGTGTTTTGAAGTGTTGAGGTTCGTGTCCTCTAGAAATTCAAAGGAATACTTTAGAGAAGTGCCTGCTCGACTAGAAGTGGTGAGAAGTTCAATGGTCTGAGTGTCTTTGGGAAGTGTTGTGCTAAACATGATTCCTTTCGGTCCAAAGGCTGCATCTGGGGTCTTGCAGACACTTGTCCGCACACAGGGGACTCTGGTAAGTGCATGGGACTGCTTTTAAATGGCAGATGTTTGGCAGCTCTTTGTGCATTCTCTGTGCTTGTAAATGCACAAATATACCATGCATATGTGGGTGTACTTCTAATGTTCAGGTGCAGGGTGTTTAATTAATAAAAATGCTCTTTTTATATATATATTTTTACTTGGGGTAAGTGAGACTTCACTGCTGCTGTGTAGCTTAGGGGGCAAGGTTCTTCAAAATATATATGTATTATATATATATATGGACTTGGCTTCTATTTTCCCTCCTCACTGCTCGCAGGCCTTGGTTACTGTATGCCCCAACCTTTGGGGAGATGCGCAAGTGTCTCAGCAGAGCGCACAGCACAGCTACAACTTGTGCCTCTGAAACTCAGAGCAGTGAGCAGTGTTAGTGGAGCAGTGAAACCCAAAGGCTAAATCTGTGCTGAAAGCACCAAGGAACCTCGGTGGATAGTGGAGCTCCATCACCCCTATGATAAAATGGGTAGCAAAGTCCCTGGCTCTGCTGTGGATCAGGCCAACTAGCACGGCCCCAAACATCTTCTGAACCTGGTTTGGCGTTTATCACCAGACCGGGATGTTCCAGTAGGTAATTTGGATGTGACCACCCTGTTTTGGGGGTTAAGAAGATTTGTTTGTACAGATGTGGGCCGTTCCAATCCACTTGGGCATAATGATGTCAAGAGAAAGGGTACATTTAATTTTTCAGGGCAAATGTAGCCTGACATCAGCATCCAAATGCACTGAAACCTGTGATCCGGCCCTGAATATGCAGAGGATTTCAATCTGCAGGGTACCTTTCAAGATTATTTAAAAATTGCACACAAACCCAATTATTTCTCAGGTAACATGCTGATTCAGTTTAGACCCATTAAGTATAATTACCGGGCAGGCTGCAGGAACATATAATTAGAGGGAATTGACGTACTATTTAATCGGTCTAACATGAATTCCCTCTAACTGAAATCCGGATTCACTAATACTATTCAAACAATTCAGGGTTTGTTCATCCTCTTTGCTTCAGAGTCAAAGGAAAAAAACCAAAGAACATGTGGGATCGTGTGCTGTTGTAAGCTAGGAAATATTTGCTCCGTGTGCCAGACTTTCTAGAAGGGCCGCATGGTCTAATCCTAGCTGGGAGCAGGATCTTGGGGCCTGCTGAAGTCGTGTTGGCTTCCCTTTTTTGCACCCCAATGATGCCCTCTCAGCTGCTTTTACTGAAGCTGGTTGCTCTTATGGCTGTTTCCCAAGCAGAGCTGGATCTACCCCTGCACAACATCCATTTGCAGGTTTATCTTTAGATTTCCGAAGTGTTGCTGCCGCTGGATAAAACGGGAATAGAAAGGTTTGCCTGTCTCTGCCATCGGCCTCAGGGTTAGTTGAGTTGCCCAAGTGGCCGTTCACTGGCAGTGCTGTTAGGAAAGGGAAAGGCCTCCCGCCTGCCTCGGTGACTTGCTCCGTGAGTGCTCCATGGAGTCCTTTTCCATCGCCTTGAATGTTTTATTTCGTGTGTGGGGCAGCTGGACATGGTGATCGGGGACTGGTGGGTATGAGGCACCTGTGTATTAAACCTCCCAGCAATGGCAAGTCCAAACTTAGCCCCTGAGCCTTCCATTCACAAGCCTCAAAGCCTTTGAAGTTTCCGAAAACCAGGATTCTGACCTAGGCTCCAACTGCAGCTCAAATCCCTCTGTGACAACAGTATAAAACTATGTTTGTGAAAGGCACATCAAGGCCCTGAGATGCATCTGGGAAGGAAAGGAGCCTTTGCTGGTGATGGGTGAAGTGCCAAAAGTTTGCATGGGGGTAGGAGGAGGAAAGTGGGTGGGAAGAAGGTCATTTTGTTTCAGTTTGGGACCTGTAGCTTTGATTTATAGGAAGGCTTTTGTGCTGAAAACTGACTTGGACAAAAGTTTTGAGTGGAGCAAGCAGTCATTCTCTGCATAGATTTAGTTCTAATCTAAAAGACCCATTTAATTCTTGTTAAATGTCAGCGATTCTGTTCAAGCATGGGAATTCCTGTGCTGATGTCCTTGTCAAAATCTTACTCAGGTAACTATTTTTTCTTAAAAACGCTAGGCAATTTTAATTGGAAGACATTAGAATTTTGAAATCAATTAGGGATTAATTTTAATTAAATTTTCCTCTGATAAAAATGTCATTTTAGGGCTGCCATGCTGTTTCATTTCCAAAGGGGCTGCCTTTTGGTGGGAGTTGTGATTTTTATAAGTAAGTGGTAACTTCAAAATCTTATAAACAGCAGAACGTCATTACTCGCAGCAAAGTTTTATGGGCTATCAAAGAACTGCAAGAATTCAGCCTCTGCATGGGAGATTCATGGCCTTTGAGTTTCAAGCTGCCTTACACCTCTTGAGGAGCTCGCGGCGTCTGCTCTGTTGCATTCGAATCAGATTATCTGGAATTTTTTTTGGAAGGACCACCTAGGCTTCCAGTGAGTGTGTCTTGTTCATCTAATTTCCCTTCAGCCTCTTCCCACAATATTGAACCTTACGTGAGCTTTGCCACTGGCTTCGCTGGGCTGAGGGTGATACATTTTCTGCTTAATTCTGCGAGCGCAGAGCATTGCCTGGAAAGCCTTGTCTCATTGCACACACTTGCAAGGTTTCCTCTCTGGGAAGAATTTGTGCCATTCTGTGAGAAAGAGCAGAGGGCTACGGAAAGAACGTTTCTTTTTTTTTGCAATGATAAAAATCCCAGGCAAAAGCAAAGAAGAGGCCTAAATGTCTTCTCAGTCCCTTTACCGCTGGTGATTGATTTTCGTGCTGGAATAGATTGGTGATTCAGGAGCTATCAACCCT